TATTTCTATGATTTCTAAAAAATAAATGAATAAAAATGAGCTGAAGGAAACAAACTGTTTAAACATTAACTGATTTCCCACCAAAATCAAATCAGAAAAACTGTTTTAACATTTAGAAACATGCACAACCTATTCAGCCATGTAATTCTGTGTGAATTGCAGGCTAATCAGGAGTGCTTAAATTAGATGATAGTAAATGCAGGGGTGCACTGAAAACAGATCTCATTCAAGAAGAAGAAGAAACGTTTATCTTACTGTAGCTTGCCATGTCATCATATACTGTGAAATCTCAGAAGTAATGAAATAATGATTACTATTGTTTTTACTGTAATAGTAACCATAGTCATAAGAATGCTAATCTTGTCATATCACCTACCATCATGATATCATTTTTTTCTCTCCATCGTCCAGCATGGACACCAGCAAACGCTGCAACCAGTGAAACTGTCACAAATATTAAACCAAACCTTCACAGTCCCGGGTTCTTGTTTACTTTTTATTAAGTTTTGGCTCGTGTTTAGATTTTACTGCTTGTTTTTGATATTTGTCTAAATTCTTATTGTTTCATTCTCCCCCTTATCATTTCCCAAGTAGCATATCCTCTATTCCTGCCTTTGTTCCTCCCATTAGAGATGGGATCAGAGGAGGCGAGGAAAAGATGCAAAGGGAGAGGAGTCAAAGCAAACAAAATATAACAAAATGAGACCTGTTTGACTTGGATCAAATATTTTAAAGTGATGTCAATTAATTATGATGTTTGATGCGATCGGATCATAAATAGTTTTGTTCATCGCCCAACTACATCTCTACTTTATGACATATAATAGTATTAATGATATTTTTTACATTTATGACTACTTTTAATTCATTTCACAACATGTGATAAGATATTATACCTTCTTTTGAATATACACGGAAACAATGAAGGGCTGTCAAAGTCCAGCCATATGATATGAATCATATGAATAAAACCAGTGAGTTGCTAAAAGAGCACTCGTGGTTTGTTTACAGTAGCGCTCCAGTCTTTGGGTTTGTCTGTCCTGACTTAATTTTTTCCACCTGCCCCATGTACGTCCCCATGTACGTCCCCATGTATGTCCTCCATGTGTGCATGCATTCTCTTTGTCAGATCATGTTGGACTTTTGTAGAGCCAAAAACTCAACAATTCACTTTTCTTTTTAAAACCTGCTTATGTGTCCTGTGTTTGGGTCCTCTCTCTCACACTCAATACGTTAATTCTGATCTGTTCAAACTGAAAGCTTCAATTGCTACACACAGAAATTGCTGCAACATTCAAGTACAGACAAGATAACTTGCCATTTTTTGGATAGGTTTGGTGAGCTGCGGTATACAAGATTTGGACAGATGAGCACATCAATCAAGCAGCTGATCAGACAGCCCATTTTTTTTGTTTTTTTCCCATTTCTATTAACTTATGATCGATCAAATGTCCACAAAGAACAGTACTTTTTAATCTTTAATTAGATCTGTCTAGTTTTCTCAGCCTGACATAATTTATGCAGTGAGACTGACATGCTTGATGTCTTTTGTCCGTTCCTTGCTTTTCCCCATTTCAATCTTTTCCCTTTTTTCCTCACATAGCAGAAATAATGGGAAAACAGACTTTTGTTAGCTACATGCGGCTAATTGTGAAGCTGTCACTATTGAGGCGATCTGGCCACGGCATTGAACACATCTGAACTACCAGATGAGGGTATTCAATCATCTGTCTCTTTGGACAAACATACAGGGTCCAACTTTGAGGTCAGCTTCAAAATCCTAATGTGCAGTCGCACTGTAATTAAGTAGAAAAGCTGGAAATCAAAATGATAATATCTCTTTTGGAGGGAAATTGATTCCTCGAAGAACTATCAGATTCTGGTTCCAAAAGGGTTGGCTGTGTGAAAGTAATATCAGTGGCTATGCAAAAACATTTAACTTTTTCTACATTAAATTGGATTTGGGAGGCCTTTAATGTTCTCGGAGAAAATTCTGGAACTTCCTACTCCTTGAGAAGATACAAAGGATTAAGTGAGCAGAGCAGAAGTGATTTTTCTTTAATTTTTGCTTAAGTCTCAAACTCAAACTTTTAATTCTACTGATACCAAGTGACTCAGCGGGCTTTAATCAAAGACTCAAAAGTTTTTCACAAAAAAGCAGACATTGCATTCATATATTTCTATTATCATTGTCTTTCATTATAAAAAGAATTGTGCTGGGAAGATAATGATACTGATGATATCTGGTGATATCTGTATGCATTCTCCTAAATCCACATTTAAACCTTTCAATTCTGTGTATCACAGTACATTACAACTCATCACAGGTGATTCTTCGTCAGCCATGAAAAATGTGATAACCATGTATGTACGATGTTTATTTAGGAGGCTCTATACTGCAAAGACTGCCTGCTTACCTCTGCTTTCTGACTCAATTTAAACACAGCACTTACAATATCAGATCACAGGACACTTTAACATTAGCTGTACCACTTATTCAAACTGCGCTTGGAAAAACTGGATTTAAATACTTTGCTGCCTATAAATGGAATGAGCTACAAAAAACCCCAAAACAAAACACAACAAAAAAATCAAGGAACTATGGCGTAACATTCTCTAATCTCTCTAACAACAACAACAAAAACAACAACAACAATAACAATAATGAACAATAGATTTGTCAGTCAAAAACACACATATAATTGAGCACAAGCTGCTTTAACATCAGAATGAATTATAGCTGTTTTTGGTATAATCACACTTTCTCTATAAGGACCATTTCCTTTAACCTTCACAAAGTTGTTTAGTGTGTTGAATAATATTTTTTATGCTTTGATTATAATTTCAGCTTGGCCTGGGATATAAAAAATGACTGTTGCTGCACAATTGACTGAGAGAGTTACAGAACCCCTGACGTCCAAAAAGACATTTAAAAAAATATTATGTGTCCAAATTGTTATCTTGATAAGATAGTTGTCTTATGAGAACAAATCATCTTATTCAAACTGGGGTTGCTGATTCATCAAATAGGAAGTTGCTAAATATTGTTTTTTTCTTACTAACAAAATATGTTTGAACACTTGTGTACTGTTTATATCCATAGTTACATTAGATATTGTTTTGTTTTTTACCTTGATGACAGATTTGACTTTTTTATATAATTTTATTTATATATTATTTAATTGCTTTACCCATTATCCTTAGCGTAAAAGGACAGTTGTAGGCTACAGAAGACATTAGTGCAAAATATATAAATAGACATCTGTGAACAGATCCTCTCATAGGTTGTCCTCTGTGTCCACATATGGTCTAAAGATCAGACATTACTGGGCAGAATAAAACAGCTGTCTATAAAGGACATGATCATTACATAGTTTTACTGCTGTTCTGACATTTCGTTTCTACTAAGCTTTAAGTGGAAACAACTTGTATTCACAGTGACAGTCACATCTATTAGTGCAGCAGATATATATAACAAGGTGTCTGCGAACATGGGAAACAACTCTAGTGTTGGTTGTCTCTTGTGTCTAATTGTGTTAGGTTTGAAATATCTCTGTGTTTATCTAGCGCTCTGTTAAGGACTCTAAATTACCTTTATTCTGAATAGTGCAATACAAATAAGTTTGACTTGCCTATGATTATACTTACACTATATGGTCAAAAGTGGGCCAGGACTCTTAGTCCTTAAATTATCCTGTAGTCAAAACCTGCAGGATATATTTGAGATAAAGTGTTAATGACTAATTTGCAAACAAATTAAAAGAAAAATAGGAAAAAGAGTTATGAACTCTTTAAGAAAGGCAGTTAAGTTATGAGCCAAAACAATCAGATCTCCTAATGAGGAAAAAGCAGGATTTAGACGAGTAGTAACAATTTATCTCATTTAACAAAAGCATTTGTTTATAGTTTGTATACAAAAAAACTTTTTTTTGGTAACATCTATTGTTATTATCTAATTTCAGTTGAACGTGACCCAGTGCTGCAAACATAAAAATCACCTTTTGGTATTTTAATTATTCGCCTGTCAAGCTGTTTGTTTTTGTTTTTGCTTGTTTGTCAGTGACATTGTGCAAACGTGTCTTTTGTTTTTCCAAAGGAAACATAATGAGGTAGAGGCCAAATAGAAAAATGCTGGTGCAGTGCCTTATAGCTTTCTTTAACATTTCTGACAGGGAGAAATCATCCTGGGAGGAAGAATTCTTTGATTTTATCTTGTCTTCACCGTATTATGAGCCTCTGCCATGTACGGAGGTAATATGGAGCCCATGAGCTGGCCGCGTAATTATTGTGTACTTGAATTGAAATGTCTTAGTTGCAGCTTTTATTATGCACAGAAAATATTTTAAGCCAGAGATTAAACTCTTTACTCCAAATTAAACACTAAAGAAAGAAGCTGATAAAGCATTTGCATTTAAGGTGCTTGTACTACAAAAAAAAAAGTTTGTTTGATGAAATTAGTTTAGGAAGAACTTGCTCAAATTTGCCTGAATGCTTTTTTGTTCTTCTTAATTATGAAATTGTATTTAAAGCATTCAGCAGATATTTTTGAAGAGCTTAGTGCTTCTTGATACTATTTAATTGATTGTATTCCCCTTTGGTGTTCTTTTAGTCTTAACTTTCTTGAGAAAAGTTTAAAGGTATTGTACTGTCAAGGTTTAACCATTTTTTTTAAGCTCCAAAAAATATATAATGAGATAGAAAAGTCAACTCTCAATTCCTCTGGTTATTAAGGGTGTTTTTCTTTCCCTCCCCTCTCTCTTTTTCCCTCTGCCCAGGAGCTGGAGGTTGGTCTCCTCTGAGTTCAGACAGATATCAGTGGTTGGAAGTCGACCTGGGTGGGCGGACACGAATCACTGCTGTTGCAACACAAGGCCGCTATGGCAGTTCTGACTGGCAGACAGCCTACCTGCTGATGTTCAGCGACACAGGGCACAACTGGAAACAGTATCGACAGGAAGACAGTATAGGGGTGAGTTTGTTGTAATAGCTCAGAGTCATCAGAGTTGGAGGAAAGTGAGCCTGAAGCGTGACTAAAGAAAACAAAATTTTCTGAAAAAATCAAGGAAAGGTGGAAATGTATTAAGGTTTCCATCATCTACAATTATGTGAACATTTTGAGCTGTGGAAATAGAAAACAAAGCTAAGTCTTCAGGTGTTTGCTATTAATTTACAGCAGAGGGAGAGCAACAAGAGAGATTTAAAAGGTGGAAGTCAAACCTCTAGTCTTAAACAATAAAAAATCAGGATGGTGTTTCATTTATTTAGTGTATTGGTTAAGTCAGGTTTTTTCTAATGCTAATCAAGAGAAGTTGTTTCATCCATCCACTGATTATATGA